ATTTTGTGTGCTAGGAAAAAAATAAAATAAAATAATAATAATAACTGGGTGAATCTAGTCCCTAGGTAAACGAAAGAGACCTGTCTTCAAAGTTCTTCCATGTGTTGATGAGTTTCCAGAACTTATCGTTTTAATTTTAATAATCGTTGGAGTGAAATTGTGTTCCATGTTGTCCCATCCAATCCTATTATTGTGCAACTTCAGAAAAATTTCGTAAAACTTATTTTATAAGAAATGTTTCAAAATCAAATTAAGATAACGAGTTATAATTTAATTACATAATAATTTCAACTTATATTTCATAATTTTGGCTCCTTTTATTATCACAAACTTCCACATTTCACTTAAAAAAGAAGTTTTAAAATCATCGTTTTGATTAACAGTATAAAGCTTATAGAAACTGATCGGATTACAGTAACAGAACTTAGTTTATAAAATATTAAATAATTTGACATGATTTTATACTAAAAATACATATAATGCTACATAATATCTTTCGGTAATTTAACATTTTAATAAATAATTACTTTTTCATTTTAATCTTGAGATAAAATTACTTAGTGAAATTATTAATGGTTATCTTTTCTAAATATTATTATTATTAATCATTAATAATAATAGTAATAATGTGTAGACCGATATTTGTCATTAGAATAATACACTAGTAAGTTATATATGAATATAATTACTTCATGCACTTAATATAGCCTACTCGTGACAATGATTCGTTATCTTAATAGCATTCTCAAGTTCTATTTTAACTGTTTTTAGCCAAATTAAAGTCTAAAGTAATCTAGTTTGAATATGCATTATAATAAGGAATTCTATAGTTGCGAAGATGGTCGACATCATTTATCTTTTATTTTTAATTTTTATAATAAATGAACCGTTTTTTTATAAAAAATTATCACATTATTACTCTTAAAACTTTATATTTTATAGTATTAGCAACTGATGAATATTATTCATTGTTATCTCGTATAGAGCGAATATACTGCTTATCGCACAGCCGGAATAAGTGAGTGAGAAATGATTCTAAAATTGACTAAACTCAAGATTATTTATATATTCACCTATAAAATGGTTATTTTTTAAATTTTATTCTATTTTGAAGGTTAAAAACAAAAAAATCCGGGACTGTCCCGGACAAAACGGGATGTATAGTACTTCTCAAGTACGAAATTTCTTTGATAGATATGAAGATAGGTGCTAAAATTAGCTTATAAAATAAAAATTACTATTTAGAGTTTTATTTTCAATTCTAAAATTCCATAATACATACTAAAGTTTATTCTGATTAGTATAGCCTATAGTTTTTGATTAGAATATTACTTCAGATAAGGGTAATATTTCTTTTTGATAAATGATCTAGATCCAAGGCTATTTGTTTTTTAAGGTTTAAATTTCTTGATATAAATTGATGTTAAAAACAGAAAAATCGACCTTTCGTGAAGTAATCTACTTTCTAAGTTTAAACTATAATCCTTAAAAATTACTAGATTCAGCTGAAACTTAAATCCCTTGTGGACTTAGTTCTTAGCTTGTTTCAAAAGGTTAACTTTAATAATTTGTCTTCCGTAACAATATAGATCTAAATAAATTGATAATATTCGAAAGAACCCATTTTTTATATTTAAATGAGATGAGAATGTATATTATGAGTTTCGCATTAAACGATGGTAAAATCGTTCATCTCTCTTAACATGATAAAATCTATCATTTTTATAACATTCTATCATTTTTTAATAATGTAATTAATATTTGAACAATGTCAATTTATAACTTTCAATCTATTAAGTATTCAAAAATATAATGCAAGTTAGAATATCAGATAATGCATTCAGTTTCAAGAATATTGAAAAGTGCATAAAATGAATGATTTTTGAAAAGATAAAAACTAATGTTTTACATAGATTATCTGTAAAATTAGATAATGAAATATAAAACTCTTTTTTAAATTAATAGATCAATTATATATAAATTATAAGAGGCCTTTGACTTTACGGATAAAAAATTTCTATCCTAAAGAAAAAATCTAGAGCACTTTACTTGTGAACAGAATACGATAATAGGCTGAATGTCAACGAGTAGACTATTTTACTCAATATATATGTTATAATAATACTTATATGTTATTATTAATTATTATTATTATATTAATTCATACTTATATATTATAATAACATTTTAATACATCTTGTACATTGTAAGTCCGTTATTAATATATGTTTTCTAAATTTGTTCGATTTAAAGGACTTTTGGCAATAACGGATACCCCTTTACTCAGTTAGTCGTTAAATCGAGGGCGTACTGTGTTTGTATATAACTTCATATAACTGTCTGGTGATTCTACTAGTTTATTGAAAAAATAAAAGATTAATTTTTACCGTTTCTTTAATATTCTTAATATAGTTATTATTTCAAACACAGATAATCTTTTATTTACCATTTACTTGTTCAATAATGTTTAGGTTAATAAAAAATATTTTCTGTTTTAATTAACCTATATTTTCTATATACTTGTAATATCTTGTTTAATTTAGAATCGACTGGTTTCAGTCTATTTTTTGATATTATATCATAACCTTTCATATTACATTCAGTAAATATTTCAATGATGTAAAACAAACAGCGTAGTCACTATCGATTAGTTTTTCCAACCTTAAGAATAAAATACTTAGGACTCTCCATAAATTACGTAACGCAGATATGGTTGAGTGGGTATGCAGGTAATCGTTACGATGGATACAAGAAAGCGAGGTGTTTACAAAATGTTACATAAAGTTAGTGTCATTCTGTTACTTAAGGATAACAGAATGACCCTAACTTTACGTAACGTTTTGTAATGGTATCATGAAATGTAACAGAATGACTCTACCATGAAATAATGGTAGGGTCATTTTGTTACTTAAGGATAACAGAATATTTCATAACCCTACCATTATTTCATACTGCAATAGTTCAGAAACAAAAATGAATCGTTTTGTTATCCTTGGATAACAGAACGATTCATTTTTGCTTCCGAAATATTGCGTAGCGAACCGTACTGTTTATATCATTGCTTTGTACTGTACAGTACGTTACACATGTAACTTAATTAATGAAATAATATAACGTTTCGTACTCCCTTGCTGTGTGTTATTCTTTTCAACCACCATTCTACTACCTGTAAAGTCCCGTAACAGCGTTATGGGACGTTACAGGTGGTAGAATGGTGGTTGAAAAGAATAAAAATATCGTTACGTACTTTATGGATGATTCTTTAATTTAATATTTTGTTTTTGTTTTATATTCAGCATTAATATAGCATATGTTTCATTTGCGTTATACAAATTTGTTATTGCAGTTTGATTCGTATATGCTGTTTTGTAATAATACAATAGTGATTTTAACTAATAACGTCATGCTATCAGTTTAATTTAATTCGGGAAAATAATTTAAATTAAAGTTGAAGGCATCAACAATGTTTCTCGTAGGACATGTAAAATTTATAAATTTCCAAATAATGTGTAAAATGACTATTACTGTATAAAAATCAACAAGTCGTTCCATCTTATTTTCACTCAGCGATGAGGAATGAGATACAAAAATATCCTTTTAAATGTTAAAATCAATATTCTATTTCATATTGAGAGTAGGTTAGCATCTATTCAACTATTATAGTATTAATAATATATTTTATATGACTTAACTTTTATTTAAACTTGATTACTTGATTATAGAATATAATTTAAATAATATAATTAAATTATTAAAATTGTATACACTATATAATGTTTTTATTTAAGAATTTTATTTTTAAGAAATCGACTTATTCAATTTTATTTGAAATCAGAGAAAGAAAATTTAATATCTCGGCGGCTTAAAATTTTAATGCTTCAGTCTGAAATAAATCTATTTACGAAAATTCATAAAGTCACTGTTTTTCTCTGAATTTGTTTTGTTACATCGTTTGAAACATTATTCATTTAAATTAATTTCTTATTCGCGATTAATATATTATAAATAATAAATTGTTAAATTATTTCAATTTTTAAAGAATTTCTTAATTATTATCGTTAATTTTTTGATGGTGAAGGACAAGGTTCGACATATTCGGAACAGACCGTCCGTGAAAAATGCCTGGAATTTTTCAACTGCCAAGATTCAGCTTACAGCTCTGGGGCCCCGAGATCGACAAATCTCGGGGCCCCAGAGCTGCAAGCTGAATCCTTAACCGCCTCGGCACTACAGCCCTAAAAATAAGTCTGATAGTACCTTAACGTCGTTAATTATTTTCTTCTGTCAATATATGTTTCTTATGTTTATAAGCTTAGCCGCACTGACATACCCAGGAGGGATTCGTAACGAAAAAGTTAATAAAAATGTTAAATATAACAAAAATAATTTAACTGTGGAATTTACTACTGACTCAGCAATTTATATTTGCTTGTTTTTATATAATTACTGTATTAAAAGTGAAAATTTGGGCTCTCCTTTATGTCGGATTTGGTTACGCTTAGATTAGCTGTAAAAAGTCAGTTGTTTATTAGCGAGGTTGAGGCCGAAGTTTTCAACGCCAAAACGTGTACAGTACGTCGGACGTTCAGCGCCGCTTTCCTGTAAGCCTAGAAGTTTGACAATGGTGTTTGGATAATCGGTGGAATCATGCTCGACATTCCAAACACCATTGTCAAACTTCTAGACTTACAGGAAAGCGGCACTGAACGTCCGACGTACACGTTTTCGCGTTGAAAACTTCGGCTTCAACCTCGCTATTATCAATTTTTCACGTCGATTAATCTTTACAATCATTCGCTCCATTTTTCATCGCTAATGCGTAAGAAAAGGCCTATTCTATTTTGTATCGCTTAGTCGTAAGTTATATCCAGTCCCTATGTAGTTGAACGACTATACTCTAAATACACATTATCAAATACAAGTGTTTTGAATTATATTGCTTTTGAATAGAGATATCTTATTTTGTAATAGCTAAGTCATAACTAGATATATTTACATACCTCTACTTCTTTTCCATCTTCGGGAAGAATCATGCATGATGCTCCTTGATATATCATATATTTAATGTCAGAAGGCTGAAGAACAGAGTCTAGGTTAATAACTTCAGTAGTACGAGGATCTACTAGTGTCATTCCATGATCAGATACAACAACCAAATTTACCTGAAATAAAAAATAACTTGACGTCTTATCAATTTCTATAATTAAAATTTTAAATTAACAGAATTGTTCAGTTTAAACTTTATTGAATTATGTTAGTAAATAGATAAATATAACAGTTATATTTATCTATTTATCAAATATTCTAGCTGAGTTTCAGAACATTTAATATTCTTTCACGATCAATTCAATTGTTTACTTGATCTTCTAATCCTCGCTTTGTTATCTCCTCTTGTAATTCGTACAACAATCTATCGATACTTCTAAATGCTTCTTTCCTTTCATCTGAATCTGGTCCATATTTATGCCCTATAAATATACAAACCATCATGATAAATATCTGTTTTATAGTGATAATACAGTATAAGCTACAATAAAAACTTTTAGCATACTTTGATATAAAATTTTGTCTATATTTAAGCAAATATTTTGGATAAACATTTGTGAAATATTTGACAAATTTATGAAATATTTATGTAAAATAAATGAAAAATAGCGCATGGAGATTCATTTAGATTGTATTAATACCTAAATTTGAAATTACTAATGTTTAGATAAATATAGCCTGTTTATTATGTTTTATAATATATCATGTTATGTGTCTAACTACATTCTTGTATATCTATTAATATATTTAACTATAAAATTCGCACATAACACACTTTCGAGTCACATCGGACATAGAGTCATCGATATAAAACTCTTCATATGATAGATAAAAATCATTTAAAACTTTCAGTTTTATTTTAAAAAATAAAAAAAATTGACACGAATTACTTTCTATTTCTCACTTCTTCAAAGAATACGTAAATTACACAGTATAAATAAAAAATCTCATGAATATTTTATGCTGTATTCTTCCATCGATATTATGAAATATAAATCGCAAAACGCGCAAACACACGTACAAACAAACTGTAAGACAAATGAATTGTTGCAAAAAACTGAAAGTTAACTTTGTCAACTAATAACAAAAATATAAAAAGAAAAAATTTTAGATAAATCAGGTCTATCTTTTATTTGTTTCTACACCACACAATTCTCTATTCATTTCAGTTAACAAGGCAAAAATAAAGGAAAAAATAATTAATTAAATTGTCATAAATTATAAGACATTTTAAAAATAATAATAATAACCTAATTTCAACTAAAACTGCAAAGTGCTGTACTATCTCTGGTTTGCATTTATTAAAGTTTTATAAATTAGTTTTGCACTAAATACATTTGAACCCTCGATTTAACGGAACTTCGAATCTAAGGGAAAATTTGTCCTATAAGAAAATTTAAAACCTTTCTTGTTTGTGAAAAGTGCATACTAAAAGGTTGGAACAATGAGTTAATGAGTATGAATTACTCAAGATACTGTACAATACATTATGTTATTATTTGACTCATATATCATGCTAACATTTTATCACATCTTGCACATTTTACGTTTATTATTAATTCGTTTTTAAGACACATTCGATAACGGACTTTCAACAATGGTGGACACTCCTTTCCTCATTTAGTCCGCTAAATCGAGGGTTTACTGTAATTACTCTGTATCTGTATTAAAACACTATATATTTTTAATTTGTGGAAATTTTTTCGTTTCACATTAATTTAAATAGATTTTAAAGTTGTGTCATGAGAAAGTAACAAGACGTATTTAATAAAGAAAGTGATTTATCTGAAAACTTTTGTTTTCTTTTAAATCTTCAACATTCTATTAAAATAAAAATTCTATGTTTTCTTTTTTCTTCTCTTAGAAACATATAAATAAACGATATTTTCTAAATATGTTTTATTTAATTGAAGAATCAATTAATTAAATCAATTAATTGAAGAAGTTTAATAATATGAGTATCTTAACAACTTCACATTTATCACTAGATTTTTATCAATATTTGACACAGTTCAGTGTATGTATAAATTGATTCGATCTAGGAATGACAAAAAACGTAAAAATACTAAAAGTTTATTTCATTTATTTTCTTAACATAAAATTTTATTACAGGAATAAAGAATACCTGTATAAGCATTTCTGTACGTCTGTAAACAAATCTTATTAGAACTTCGGAATTGAGTAAAAGGCGAAAATTGAAGACATTAGCTCCGTTATTGATTGTCACATAAATTAATTTGATTTGTTTTAAATACACTTACAAATTCAAAAATGATCGTTTTTATTTGGTAATTCCTAAGATTTTTAATAAAATTAATTGGCCAAATAATGAAATTTAGAGAAGAGTACGAGGGAACATTTAAACTAATTGCATATTTTTTATTGATAAACTAATTGCATATTGCATATTTTTTATTGATATTTTTATTAATGGTTTATACTTTATATTCACGTTTTAATAACTTCCTTTCAATAACTTTTTACAATTTTTCTTAAATTTGTAAGTCAAAATAATAAAAATTCTAATGTTTTCTACAAGTATCTACATGTACTGTACTTTTCGATGCTGTCCGCATTTTTCGATTTTATATATATATGCTTTTAACTTAATATAAAATATAATATAAAAATATTTTTAAAAAATTAATATTACCTTTATGGTCTACAGATTCGTAATACACTTGCACCAATTGAACTTCGTTGGACTTTAATTTATCTAGTGCTTCCAAGAATGCGTTTCTAGTATCGGCATCTACCGTTTCCCAATCTTCTCCCACGTACTTGTAAGGAACACAAAAGGTAGGCTTTTTTCCTTTTATTTCTACCTGGCATCCATCCCACCAATATAGAGAAGTGCGGAGATTATTCTTCTCAGCAGTTATCCAGATTGGTTCGGCATGGTTCCACCAATGGAGCACCGAAGCCGTTTTGTTCGGTCCCATTAAAAAGAAATCTTTGTGGATAGGATCGTACATCATATTCTGCACAAATCCGTGGCTTTCGGCATAAAGTCCTGAAATTATTATGCATAAAGTAAGATTTTATTATAATGGAAATATTTTACAATATAATATATTATATATTCCACATAAATTTTTAAGTCATTATAGTATTATATATAGCAATAATTGTCAAGCGTAGGGCGTTTCTCTTGAGAAACATTTCTTAATTAAATGTCGAGATGTCCTTGTATGAGACAGGGCATTTCTATGATTTATTTTCATTAAAATACTCGTTAATCAACCAAAATATGTGACGCTCTCAAGCATTTAGATAACAGAATATCGCTTAATTGAAGTAATAAATGCGTCTAATTATCGTATATCTTTACTGTTTAGTTCACAATAATGAAGATGATTCGTGGATGAGTTGACTGCATCATTAAATGCCGTGTGTCAGTACATTCTAAATACTTGACCATAATTACATTTGTCAGAATTTATGAAATATGTCAAATTGTTTTAATATGTTGCAAATTAACGCTATTTTTATTCAAATATTTGACATTAGTATAGTATTCATTTTTAATCTGAGTGTCATTTCATACCAAATAGTCACTTCTCGCTACATCGCAGGCTATTTATTCTTCAATTAATATTAATAATTGATCCTTTCTATTATTACAAATTTGTAGTGTTTGGGAAAAAGCTATTATTATCTTAAACGAAAATAAAAAACTTATTTTAAACTATTTTGATAAAGGTGAAAATTTTAAATGAAGGAGTTTTGCGAATTCGAAGAACACACAAATTTAATATTAATGTTTCAATTGAAGATGGATTAATAAGAGAAAAATTAAAATTCTTCATGATGTGACAGGATGTGTTACATCTATTATTTCTTATCACTTTTATATATATATCATAAAGATTATAAGATAAATTTAAATAAGATGTAAATTATTGTAACTTAATAACTTGAAAACTCGGAAATTATAATTTATATTCTACAAAACTTTTATTCCACAAGACTTATTACATACATCTCATTAAGAAACCATGCACAACCACGCAACATGTGCAATCCCATTGCGTGACAATACGCAAATACGTTTTTTTATTAAACGTAAATGAGACATCTGGAAATATTAAGCTCACATCTCTGATGTTGAACAAATATAGCTTTGATTGTATAGTTATTCTTGTTGAAAAAAGAAAACTACAATTTAAAAATTCAATTTCTTACAGAAATAGTGAAATCTATAGCCTATTTAAAGTTGCCAGAATTTATACTTTTAAAGTGGCTGAACGTGATAAGATAAGATGTAAACAAGAATAATAATGAGAAAATTGTTTATTTGGGAATTAAAAAGAATACTTTTCAAATAATGCAAATATAACAAAATTCAAGGAGAAAAAAAAACAATGTTTATTGTTCATTCTTGCAAAGAAATTTGTTAGAAAATTTTCGGCTTTAATTAAATATCAAATATGCTATTTTATCTTTAATACTCATACTATAAATCTCTCACATTTTAATGTTGATGAAAATGTTTTCAATTTTTTCTTATAAATGTTTCAATTTTAAAATGTAAATTTCTCCTCATATTATTTAGATATTGAAAAAACTATATAATAAAAACTTTTCATCGATATCATTAAATAGGCCTCTACTATTACAGGAAATCTAAATCCATGGCACAGTTACAGACAATCATGCGTTTCTTCAATTCCTAATAATTGGGTACGAGATACGCGAAAGAGATAATCGCTAAGAACCTGGGAATTTATAATCAGAAGTACTTTTGCTTTTACTGTAACTGTTGAGTGACACGTCGAAACTTTCTTGTGAGTTCTAATTATCCCTTTTCAGCGTTTCTTTAACTTCATTAGCATTAGTTCCTCCGGGCTAAAATATTAATGCACAGAAATATTCTCGCACGTTGCTTGAGATTCTCTCCATATAAATCTTTATAAACCTACGTAAGCAGCAATATACGAAACATAAAATCTTCAATAAACGTATTGTAAAAGAGCAAAAATTACAAAATTTTACCAAACTTGAAATTTTTCTACGGTTAAAGAGGTTAGAGACCCGAATAAAGAATGTCACATATTGAAAATAAATAGATGTTATCTTTCGATAAATTATATCTATTAAAAAAGAAGATGACTCAGAGACAAGATCTATCGTTCTAAAAATATGATCCAACAAGGACATTTGTGCTCAAAATTCACGACCAGAGAGTTGTCGGGAATGACAAAGTGATATACATAATTATTCGCTGCAGGGTTTTTGTGTCCTTGATGAATATAGCTTACCTGGTCTCATGCATATTGACATCGGATGTGTGGTCTTTATAGCGATCGGACACAAATGCCGAATGATTCAAAATGGGTTTATGTTAATGAAGAATGAGATAAATATATACATGTAACTAAAAAAACTATGAACAAAATGAGTTACAGGCAATAGGAGTTTCACTTAATTTAGCTTGAAAGGAGACAATCGTGTTGGAGTTGATAATCTTAAAGAAAAATCAAGAACTTTTGTGTAGATATAAAAATGTTATGATATTTAAAATGTGTGAAAAATTCAATAAATCTGCTTATTTCGAATCGCATATTGCTTTCAAATAGATTATACGTATCCGGATTCGGGAAATACTGATCACGGGAAACTGAGGATACATAAATGTGTATCCTCAGTTTCCCGTGTATTAAAGTAGTTTTGTTTTAATCGTTAAATGAATAAATTTTGAAAATATATTAAATAACTTTATTATTCTTTTATTTGCTTCATTATTGAGCACTTTTCTTACAGCAGTAGTCGTTTCGTATCATCATGATAGTATATAATCTACTATAATTATCTATTTCTTATTCTTATTATATTTAATAACATACAAGATATTTTAAGAATTTATTATTCTTAAGATTATTTTAATAATTTGATAAACTTTTCTCTAGTTGTTCAGAACCATGCACTTCGCATCTCAAGATTTGCGGGCGCGAAAATTAACTTACAATACAAATTATATACACGTATAATTATTTCTGTTAAAATAGCAAATTTATATTCAATATTTTCAAAATATATTTAAGAAAAGATTATTATTAATACTGTGGAGAATAAATATAAATGCAGTTTTGCGTCACGTCTCATGGAGATAAATATCCTGTGAAAGCATCGCCAAAGTATCCATTTACTAAAATATATAACCTTGATTTATTATAGTAGAATATTGTAAAATTAGATATGTTTTAGAATATAATGAGCATACGGTTTTTCTACTATAATATGAATAATAATAGACCAAATTTGAAGTAAAAAATTTGTAAACATTACAATTTCGCACAAGCAATCTAAACATACCTTAAATGAACTATGAGTAAATCATTCGGCATCATAAAAGTTATAATCTACAAGAATAGAGGCCTAAGTTAGTCTTTTAAAAATCATCTCGAGGCGAAATTTAGGTCAGTGGTATACAAATACATCAATATGATTTATGATAGTAATCAACTAGTCCATACGTTCTGATTTACTGTCTGGTTCATAATACTAAGTATAAAAAATAATTATAGATCTACTATCGACCGAAACGTGTTTAAAATATATAAAACATTCCGTATTTAATTTTAAATATTAATAATAATAAATCGAGATGTAAATTATAATTAATTTTTGAATTAAATAGTAACATATTTAGTTAAATTTGTGATACAGTTTTAAATGATTTAATTTGCATTAAATTTACTTCAGTTAATATGTTTTGCAAGCATTCTCATTTGGTATGCGAATATAAGACGAGAGACTAAATTAGAAATTCTTATCATTCTATTACATTTTATTTTTCAGAAAGCTAAAAAACCGACTTTATGATATCAACATACCAATGATAAAATAAAATTTCTCGAAAAGTATTTTATTAATTTATTATTCAAAAATGTCATCTTATTTTTATGGTTACATATTAATAAATATTTTACATTAAACTACAGAGTGTACCGTTTCAATGTACAGTACTTTTCAGTTATTTTCACGTTAACAATTAAACAGTGGCAGTTTTTAATTGCACAAGTTCCTGAGATTGTTTAATATATAGTTCCTAATAAGTATGCAGGTTTATAATTGCACTGCATCTCACATAATTGAGATGCAAATTATATTATATAATCGTATATTATATTATATTATATATTTTTCAAAGAACAGACATTATATAATTGCACATACATAGAAACTAAAAACAACGAAATAACAATTTATAGGCTAATTATATGTAAAATAGAATGAAGCAACATGCTATAATAGATTCCTTGTTAAGTCTCTTGAATAAGTCTTGTTCACTGTTCCAAAACTTATGGGCTATTTTCTAAGATGACTTTCACAAAGACGGACAATAAATATATATTACGACATAATAGGCCTATATTATATAGAACGTGTATGTAAAATTATAAACACATTAACAACTATATAAATGATCTTTCTACGAATTAAAGACATAAGCCTATATTTTAACTGAACTTAAATTTAAACCGTCTGACGTTCAACCGTTTAGCTTAAAAACTAATTAATTAACATAATTAAGATTTTATTGAATTTTCTAGCTTCTGTTTATCTTTCGCTAACATAAGAATTAATAAAACAAATGAAGATTAAAAGTTAATTCAGTCACTACGTTGCCTACTTTAATTAAATAATCGATTATTTAATAACGACACTCTTCCTGATCGTGTTGTACTGTACAGAATAAAACGAATAAAATAATTTTAAATGATTTTTTATTTAAATAACGATTGAAAGCTTTTATAATTTTATATANGTTTTTTTCGACTACAACACATTAAGGAGAGCGGAAATAGAGATTCGGTATGACTCATTACGCGACTGTATCACGGAAATTAGTGCATATGTTTATCGCAACTTTCATTACACATTACAGCATTAATTTTCGACGTTCTTTAAAAATTAAATATTTTAATAAGATATATTAAAAATATAGTATTAATACGTGTATAATGTAATATCACTCACTTATCTACAGTTGTGGGAACAAATTAAGCT